AACCTAACAATAATGAAAATATCAGCATTTTAACTCAGTTACTGTATTTTCATTTCATTTGTACTATTAAAAAAAATAATGTACCATAAAGGATCACATTTTACATGACAGTGTTACACTTACAGGACCTAAGGAATAAAATGGCTGAAAGAAAGAAAAATACACAGGATTTAATATGGTTTTGCAGTGTTTTCTTCCCAGAGATGCGTTTTTATTTACATTTCTATATTAACTTTTATTAAGAATAGCAAGGTTTTATTAAAAGAGAAGTTTGCTCGGAACAGTTTAGAGGAAACAAGAGCAGTCCTCACGTACTTAGGAAGTACTTAGGAATACAAACAAAAATGTGTGTTAAGGAGATGACACAGGTTATATATGTAACTAACCAGAGGACAGCATGTGCTTACACACAGTGTTTAAGTTTCTTTCCCATTATTTCTTGTGCCAAACAGGTATAGAGGTCTGTCTGGGGGCAAGAATGCACACGTTTTTTAAACATTCAACAGGCTTCTTCAGACACACAAAGCAAAACCTCAAATTGCATCGAGGGCAAACAACCGATTTACAAAGTATCTTGCTGTGCTCCAACAGTAACCCACAAGTGGGACAGGCACGAACTGAGGGACACACACGGACACCATGATATGAATTAAATGTCATATCTGGGCATTTTTCTAATGTGTCTAGTGACGAGTTGCAGCAGCCATCGTTTTCACAGTGGTCTTTCCGAGGCCGTGCACCCTTCCACTCCCTCAAACACTGCCAGCAGAATTCAAACGGCCGTCCTTTTACTGCTGTGCACACTTTACAGAGGACATTCAAATCTGACCCATTCTCTCTCGTCACAGCGAATCCACATCCAGGACACTACATTGAGACAGATGTGGGGCAATATGTAATACCAGATGAAATGTCTAATTACAATTCTACATTTACAGTAAAAATAATATTAAAATGAAACTCTTACCAACTTAGTCGTAATTGTCTGCCTGGCAGCATTGAATGCCATGGTTTTTTGAAAGTACCTCTTTTCTTGAGGGTCCAGAAGAGCCATTTTACAAACCTCTGCAAAAGTCCACTCAGCACCACAACCAGA